GAATAGATATGGTTTGTGACCTGGAACCAGCCCTCAGCTGCCCCCCTCTCTGGTTGACTTTTGGGGTGCTGTTCTCCTTGATGAGCTGTTAATTTTTCCCGTCTATAAAATGTCATGGTTATACTTGAACACTTACGGGGTGGGGGGAGGGGGCTTCTCTGTAAAACATTCTGAATTTTATTATTCTTTTTGCCCTGTTTCCTAGGAGTTCATTTGCTTTTCCCCTGTTTCTTGTAAGTACATTATAAGGAGATGGTAAACTTTTGGTTTGTGGAGAAAGAATTGTATCAGTTGGACTCTTTGGGACATAAAGGAAAACATCACAACTCAATCTGGGTTAGATAAAAAGGGAGAATTTACTAGCTCACACAGCTGGAAAACCCAGGAGCAATGCCTTCAGGCACGACTGGATCCAGAAACTCCAATGACATTGTCAGGACTCAGTATCTCAACCTCTGAGCTGTACTTTCCCCTGAATTGCTTTTAAGTCTCTCCTCTTATGATGGCAGAAAATTCTAGGAAATGAAGGCGAGATGTTTTCAAATAGTTATAGTCTTTTCATTCAGAAAGTAAAAATTCTCAGCTGCATGCTGTGCAGAGCCTGGGGAAACAGAGAGAGACAGAGCTATTCCCACTGTCTGTACTTCCAAGATCCAGATGTATCTAGATGTTCTTTATCTAAATCTGGAACCCAACTTTGCAGGACTTGGGCCACCCAGAGGAAAGAATCCAAATGACAAGGAATATCTAGCACTAGCCTTGGGCTTGGGGAAGAATCAATCTCCTGCCCGAGCCTTGTGACTGTGACCTTGCCTAGCCATCTCCACCACCACCATCCCAGTCTCAGCCCTTCACCTCTGGCCCTGACAGCTGCAGATGCCTCATGAGGGGTCTTCCTGCTGTCATCTTTGTCCCCCCCAAGTACTCCATAATGCACACAGCTGCTCACCTCACAGAATATATCAGCATGTGGGACTTCCCTACTTAAAACTCTGTCATGGCTTCCCATCAGGATTAGAAAAAACTCAAACTCATTCCTTATAACCTTGAGAATAAAATTCCAACAAGGCTCTGCATGGCCTAGTCCGGTCTACCTCTCTAACCTCCCTTCCCAAGGTCATTTCCACCTTACAGCCTTTGCTTTCATTGGCTCCCCTGCCTATACCCCTTCCTCAGAACTTCACATGGTTTTCCTCTCCTTGCCCTGAGGTTCTGAGCTTAGATATATCACCTCCTCCTGGAAGACTTCCTGTCTGACAACCCTGTCTAAAGTTGCTGGCGCCTCTCCCAGATATGCTCTGCACTTCCTCTTGTTTACTTTTCTTTGTGGCATTTATCACAATCTAAGTGATCAGATTTCTTTATTTAACTTGTTTACTAACTGTATTCCCCGCCAGAATGTAAGTCCAAGAGCATGGGGATTGCTTGTTTTAGTCTTCTCACTGTATCTTCAGTGTCTAAGAGTAGTATTTGGCATATAGCAGGTGCTCACTAAGTCGTGGTTGAGAGAATAGCATTTCCAGACCAGCAAATGCTTTTGCCTTCTATTAAATTAATCTAGGGTTTTTCAACCTTGGCACTATTGACATTCAGAACAGGAGGATTATTATCGTGAGTGTCCATCCTGTGCCCTGGAGGATTTTTAGCAGCATCTCTGGCTTCTACCCACAAGATGATGACATCTTGGACAAGGACCATGATGATGGAGGTAATGAAAACTGAACAGACTTCAAAAAATTTAGTAATATTGGGGCACCTGGTGGCTCAGTCTTTTAAGGGCCCGACTCTTGATTTCAGCTCAGGTCTTGATCTCAGGGTCATGAGTTGAAGCCGTGTGTTGGGGGGCTCCATGCTGGGCATGGAGCCTACTTAAAAAAAAAAAAAAAAAAATATATATATATATATATATATATATATATATGTATTTTGTATATTTTATTAAATATATTTTAATATTTTAAATGTAAAATATATTTAAATATAAAATTTTAAAAATTTAAATATAAAAGATATAAATATAAAAAATAAAATATACGTACATGTACCTATATATTATGTTAATAGTATGTATATAATTGTTATATATACACATAGTACTATGTATATAATATGTACATATTATACTACGTGTGTGTGTGTGTGTGTGTGTGTATAGTAATATTATGTGCAACACTATGGAAATGAATATTATGTGCAACCCTATGGAAATGAATCTCTTTGTTTTATAAATGAAGAAAAGGGTCAGAGAGGGGAAGGGGCCCTGTGGCTTAGCCACAGCTTTCTCATCCAAAGCAGGGTGCTTACTGTGTATCCCTATCACCTATTTACTTGTCAGCAGTAAATATGTATTTGAAAGAATAAATAAGTGAACATGAGGCCCAACTATGGCATCCTTAGGGAAGCCTTGCTCACCTCTTCAGGTAAATCCTTTGGTTCTGTATTCATTTCTAGAGATTATTTGATGGATTCTGTCTCCTCCACTGGACAGAAGCTCCAGGGGAGGATGGTACCTTTACCGATCCTGGCACAGGGCCAGACACACAGTAAACTCTCAATAACCAGCTGCTCAAGGTAACATGAACGAATGCATAAATCACCAGGCTCTATAAACCAGCTGATCCCTCACTCTCTCTTCCCCTCACCCTACTTTATTTTTCTTCTTAGCCCTTGCCACCAACTGCCGCATTGCCTATTTCTCTGTTGATCGACTTCATTGTCCACCTTCCTCCACTAGAATCCAGAATTCCATCCTACAATTCGATTTGAGAATCTAGCAAGGAAACTCATGAAAGCAAAGGCTATTTAAAATTGCAATCTGCCCCCACCGCACCCCCGCCTCTATCCCTCTCTTCTGCTTCCTTATCCCCCCAGCGCTTATCATCGTCGGACATATCTTTTGACTTTCTTGGTTTTTGTCAGTCTCCAGCCAGCTCTCCAAGGACTGAACATTTGTGTCTGATTCCCAGCTGTTTCTCAGCCGTTTATCCTAGTGCCTCACACAGAGTAGGCGCTCACCCCCACCTTCTTCACCTGACAAAGGAAGGCGGGATTGCTAGGCAGCCAGGAAATGGAGCCCAGGTGGGAAGGGCCGGGCCGCCAGGTGCAGCTCCTTCTCTCAAAGCCCTAGCCCGCCCCCATCCTCACCTGGAGGCTGGGCCGGGCAGGCAGGAGTTAAGCGGCGCGCACGCTTCCGACCCGCAGGTGGCGCCGTCCCGCCTCAGTACCCGACTCCCCGCGCTCCGAAGTGCGGGACAGAATCGCAGCCAGCGCAGAGCCTAAGCTCAGCCCCGACTTGTTGATCTCGCTCAAGCAGCAGCCACCGCCGCCGCCGCCGCCGCCGCCGCCGCGGGAGCAGGAGCAGGAGCAGGAGGAGGTGGAGCAGGAGGCGCCGCCCGATCGCGGACCTGCCACCCGCGCCCCCAGCGCTCGCCCGCGCCCCCAGCCTCAGAGAGGGCGCCCCGGCTCCGCGGCGCCTGCAGCCCTAGCGCGTCGCCTGCCCGGCCGGCGTAGGCCGGGCCCGGCCCGGCCCCGGGTCCGCCGCTGCCCGCGGGCGGGGGCGCCCGGGCGGCCGGGGCGATGCGCGTTCCCTGGCCCCGGGAAGCGGCCGCCCAGGGGGTGAGTGTTGAGGCGCGCGGCCAGCGGCGGGGACACAGAGGAACAGAGGAAGGGGACTCGGTTGCCGCGGTTCGGCCTGTTGGTCTACCCGGGGCTCCGCGGCTTCAGGCGGGGGGTGGGGGAGTGGGTGGGGGGATATTATGGGGGGGGGGATTCTTCGGGCAAGGGTTGGGGCCTAGGGAGGCACGAGGGGAGGGGGCGTCAGCACATGCTGGGGGGCTTAGGGCAGCCACCGAAATCACCAGCGCGCGGCGGGAGGAGGGCACGGTTTTGAAAAGGCCAGAAAATTCAGCTCCTTTCCCCGCCTCCCACCTCCCCCACCCATTCCCTTCCAAGCACCGGGAAAGGCGCAGAACCCGGAGTTATAAAAAGCCATCGCAGGAGAGGAGCAAGGAGGGGGGGAGGGGGCGGGGAAGGAGAAAAGGAAGGATGGAGCAGGTGGATCCGTAGGACTCTGCGCGCCCCTCCCGGTGTGGAGTAGGGGTCACAGAGGGAGGGTCAGGACTCCGCGCAGATCTTGGCTTTGCATCTTTCAGGGCTCTCTTAGATACCGGAGCGACCTCAGGAGATGCTCCCGTGCTTTAGGGAGAGGGGTCGCTCCCGAGCGAGGCTGTCTTTGACCACCCTGTCAGTTGTGACCTCCGACAGGTGGGCAGCAGCAATCCCCCCGAGAATTCCCCCCAAGTCTTTCAAGGTTTAGAAAAACCAAACCCGCTGCCACCCCCCTAGAACTCAAATTCTAATTATTTCGAAGCAGGGGGAAAGAAAAGATGAGAAATCTTAAAAAAAAAAAAAAGTTTTTCATACAGCGCCCTTTTCTGCCCATTGTGGGGCCTGGTTTGGGACTCGACGGGGAGACCCAGAAAGAAGCGAGTTTCAGCACTCGAAGGGGAGGACAGCGCCCCGGGCGGCTGGGTCGGTCCTGGGCGGAAGAAACCCGGGGTGGGGCCTCCGGGATCCCCGGAGCGCCTCTTGGGGGCCCTCTCCCCGCCCCGAAGAGCCGCCCCTCCCTCCACCCATGGGGTGGGGCGGACTTCAGCACCGGCGGGAGGGACAGCGCCAAGTCGTTCGGCAACCCCCACCCCCCTACCCCGCCCCCCAAGTCCTGAGCCGCTTAAGTACCGGGAAGGTCAGGCCAGTTGGGGCCCCGGTGGAGAGGTGGGGAGGGGCCGCGCCCAGCTCCCTGTTTGCTGACCCGCGTCCACTTCCTGCCTTGCAGCGGTCAGGATGGAGGTGAGAAGACGGCCGTGACGCGCGCAGGTGCAGTCCCCTGCACCCCCAGCAGCCCACAGCGCTCCCTGCCCCCCTCCCCCGCAGCGGCCGGCCTTGCCGTCCAGTGACAGCGGCCTGGGGGGGCAGGGGGGGCGGGGGCGGCCGGACCAGCGATGCCGGCGGGCATGACGAAGCATGGCTCCCGCTCCACCAGCTCGCTGCCGCCCGAGCCCATGGAGATCGTGCGCAGCAAGGCGTGCTCGAGGCGTGTCCGCCTCAACGTCGGGGGTCTGGCACACGAGGTGCTCTGGCGCACCCTGGACCGCCTGCCCCGCACGCGGCTGGGCAAGCTACGCGACTGCAACACGCACGACTCGCTGCTCGAGGTGTGCGACGACTACAGCCTCGACGACAACGAGTACTTCTTTGACCGCCATCCAGGCGCCTTCACCTCCATCCTCAACTTCTACCGCACTGGGCGGCTGCACATGATGGAGGAGATGTGCGCGTTGAGCTTCAGCCAAGAACTTGACTACTGGGGCATCGACGAAATCTACCTGGAGTCCTGCTGCCAGGCCCGCTACCACCAGAAGAAGGAGCAGATGAACGAGGAGCTCAAGCGGGAGGCCGAGACCCTGCGGGAGCGGGAGGGGGAGGAGTTCGATAACACGTGCTGCGCAGAGAAGAGGAAAAAGCTCTGGGACCTCCTGGAGAAGCCCAATTCTTCCGTAGCTGCCAAGGTGAGTCTGGGATCTGCGGGCAATTGCACTGGGGGCTCTGCCTGGGTCCCCCGCTTGAGGACCACCGCTGGGGGTCTCTGGCTTAGTTCCCAAATAAGAAGACCCGAAAGGGGGAGGGACTCTGGCCCAGACCTCAGAGGTGAGGACCAACCCCTTGCGACTGTTCTGTTTGCACCGGTTACCTCATCCCTTGATGATTCAATACTCGATATCTCGACTCTGTTGGAGAAGAGGATTTGCGGAGACGTCAACTCCCACAGCAAGAGGGTAGACTGAGTAAGAAGGCACAGAGGGACGTTAAAGCCTTGCTGGGATGGAGTTGAGTTTGGTCTGTATACCTAATGCTCCCTTGTGGAGTCCTAGACCCAGGTGGGAGGGGGGTCATCTGCGATTCTAATACTTATACCTGTATTTTTAACCCTACTTTGCCCCGAGGAAGGAATAAAAGCAGCTTACAGATGGGCTTGGAGGACACAGATACCGTCAGGCAGTTTCAACATCAGTAAGAAAAATGAGGCAAAGGGACTCTGAGGGGTGGATGTGTGCATATGTGATGCACACAGCTGGCTGTGGATGCTTGTGGGCGAAGGGTCACCCCTGGTTTGTTCTTTCTTTCTTTCGTGAGTTTATTCCAAGAATAATTTGGTGCAGCTTGTAAAGATGCTTTGGGTGTCGGAAGAGGATGTAAATTCTGAAATAAGACAGAAAAATGAGGCAACATGAAAAAATTAAGCAGAAGGAGGCAAAAGGCTTAGACCAAACCTAGGGGGCCAGTGTGCTGTGGGGAAAGGCAGAGGCTATGCCGGCCCGGGACAGACTTGGGGTGGGGGGGCCAGACCAGGGAAGGGGGTCAGTGGTTGATGAGCGGCTCCGTTGTGTGAGGCTGGGTTCCAGGAATGGCTCAGAGAGATGGGGCCTGTCTTCAGGTGGCCAGCGTGCTGAGTGTTGGGAGTAAATGGCAACACATGTGTTTGGTGCTCTCAAAGAGGTTGTGTGAGGCTCAGGGGGAGCCAGAAAAGAGAAGTGTGGTGTCATACCCAGGACTGCCATGTCAGGAAAGACATGTTGAACACTCTGAAAGAGTGGGGCCAGGAGGGGTGGGGATGGGGTGGACGGGCAGGTCAATGTGTTCATGGCAAAAGAAAAAAGGCAGGAGGAAGGGTGTACACCAACATCATGTATGTGCTTGGGCTGCTTCGTGTCCCCGCTGGCCTCTCCTTCTGGGATCCCCCTGGCTTAGGTGGCCCCTCACTGAAGATCCACCTGCAAGGTTGGGTCTGAAGGGGACACTGTGGGGTCCCTTTCCCAGATCTGGCAGCTTGGGGAGAGGCCTCTGAGAATAGAGGCAGGAGGGGGTGGCTGGAAGGAAGGTGGACGGAGGCCTGAACATTTTCCCTCTTCCCTGGCAAACCCCAAGAGGATGTAAAGATTTCTAGGCCTGGTTTCCTCTTCTGTGGGCTGCCTCTGACCATAATCCTGCCCTAGGGTTTGTGTCCAGAAAGCCTCTCTCTTAAGACAGTCACTCACCCTTAACCGGCTTAGGATCAGCAGATTTATTTTGCTATTTCCAGGCCTGACAAGGGTTCCTCCTACACACACCCTGGTTAGGCCCAAACATGACTCTTCCCCCACCCCCCACCCCTCCACCCTATCCTGTCCCTAAGACATGAGAATGAGGGGCTGGGGAGGGTCGCCCTGAGTCACCCTTCCAGAGAAGAAGGCGTCAAAGGGCTGTGTTTGGATTGGTGTCTGGCAGCAAGACGGGGAGGGAGTTCAGGCTTGCAAAAGGCGCTGTTTGGGAATAAACAGCCTCGTCTTGCCCTCGGGTTAATCCGCTCACGGGGAGGGGCTTCATGACCTCTCCATGATCCCAGGCTCAGGCTGTCCACTCACATTCCCGGCAGATGGACGGTCTAGGACATTCTGCAGCCAGAGCTCAAATGGGGAGGCAGGCAGGCAGGCTCATTGGTCCCTCAGTATAGAAATCCCGACCACCATGGATCAAACATTTACTGTGTATGGAATGTTACAACACAATTGGTCCTTATACCAGCTCTCTGTTATTATCCAGCCTTTTACAAATAGGGAGGTTCAGAGAGGTTGAGTAACTTGCCTAAGGTCACACAGCAGGCAAACAGGAGTAGACAGAAATTCAAACCCAAGTGTGATTTTGAAGATGTTGTTCTTTCCATAGTGGTTGAGTGCCACAGACTTCTCTCCAGTCTCCCTGCTTCCACTTTTGCCCCCTGCACTCATGGTGCACAATGCAGCCAGAGTGAGTTTTTCAAAATATAGGCTGGATCACATTTTTCATCTTCTTAAAATCCTCGGGAGGTTTCCCACCACACTCAGAATAAAATCCAAACCTTCCACTATGGCTTATCAGACCCTACTGAATCGGTCCCCATGTCCTCTCTCTGAGTTCATCGCTCAACTCTCCTCTGGTTCACTGGGCTCCAGTCCACTGGCTTCCTTGCTGTTCCTATACAGGGAAGGCTTCAGCCTACCTCAGGACTTTTGCACTGGCTATTCCTGCCACCTGGAATACTTCACCCCCTTGTCTCGTTGCCAGCTGTTTCTCCTCATTCTTCATTTAAGCAAGTCCCTGTTCACATAAGCCCTCCTCTGAGAGACCCCTGTCTAAAACATCCTCCTTCCCCTTACTCTGAAACCACACTCAGTGTCTTGCCTGCATAGGCTCTGAGCACCATCTGAAGTTGTATTTTCTTCCTTTTCTTCCTCCCCCCGCCCCCAACCCAGAGTGTGAGTTCCATGAGTTATAGTCACTGCTCTGTTCCCAGCACCCATCAAGGTGGCTGGCCCAGAGGAGCTACAAATAACATGTGGACTGAATGAAGGATCAAGCCATCAGTCAGTCAGCGTGTCATGGGTTTTGGGGATCTGTCTCTTGTTCCTCACGGCCTGCCTGCAGCCCAGCTTCCTGGCCTCTTTCAGTCATCTGTGCTTTGCCCACTCCATCTATTCCCCAAGTTAGGTGCCTTGCTTGTCAGAGCAGCAAAACCTGTGGACACTTCTCAGAAGCCCCAGAATGAGATTGTCAAATGGAGGATCATTTCTCGGTGGTTGTGGGATGCAGGAACAAGCATATCTCTTATGTTTAGAGCAAGGACAGACCAGGATCCCAGGTCCAGTTCTACCCCCTCCCCAGTTTTTGGCCTCAGGTAGGTGGTTCACCTCTGTGAGCCCTCATCTTCCACCTATAAGATGGAAACACAAGGTCCTCCTTGCAGAGTCATCCTGAAATTATGTTTCTCAAGATTTAGCACAGTGCCTAGCACATGGGAGTAGGTGCGGCTTGTTTTTGTAAGTAGGAGCAGAGTCCTTCTCGATGACTGGGTGGGCTGAGTTGCAACCAACTCTTTCCTCCTGATAGCAGTACCGGGAGACGGAGCTGACGCTGTTAATAATTGATGGGATGTTCTGGCAACACAGAGACAAACCAAAGTACAGGCTCTTGCCTTCACCGTCAGGGGAGTGAAAATCAAAATCCATTAGGCAAAAGGCAGTGTGATGGATTCTTGTTTGGAAGCTGGGGTCGGCCCTGTCAGAGTGACAAGATTGTGGTCCTGGGCCACCGCTGGGTTTCCGCTTTCTTGGAAAAACCTCCAGGCTTTTCTTAGCAGGAGAGAGAGGGGTATAATTTGCCAGGCCAGGAGCATCTGCCCTCCCTGGAATAGTCTCAGGGCGTGTATTTCAGTCTGATTGGCTACTGTTGAGTGTGCTAGGCACTAATTAGGGGTACTTTAAAACCCCTATCTCATTGAAATCCCCTCAACATTGAAGGATAGATTATCCTATCAGGTAATCTGCCAGTTTGGACTGCAAGTGATGGAAGAGAAAACTTGAAGCGGCCTCTACAAGGAGGAAGATGCATCATTTCCTATAACAGAAAGTTCCAAGGTAGCTGGTTTGGGGTGAACGGCTCCAGGATGCCATCAGGATTCTAGAATCTTTCCATCTTTCTGCTCCTCCAGCTCCTGCATGTGGCTTGGTCCCCAGGCTTGCTGCCTCTTGTCACAAGACTGCTAGTGCAGACCCATGAGGTCCAACCAGTGAAGAGGGTCATTTCATCCCTGAGAGGCAAACCTTTCCCAGGAGCCCCCTCAGACTTCTTTTCAAATCCCACTGGCTAGGATCAGGTCACATGCTCATGCTCTCCCTTCAGGGAAGCCAAGGAAGGCAAGAGTCTAGCATTTTCAGATGCAGGAAGAAATGGCCTCGATGAGTGGTATTAAGACTCTTTCACAAAGAGAAAATTGAGGTTCTGAGAGGTGAAGTCACTTGCTGGAACTCCCATAATTAAACGCTCAATAAATATTTATTGAAGGAATGAAAATGGCAGAGCTAGGACTTGAGCCCTGGCTAGTCTGGTTCCCAGCCTATGTTTCTGAATCCTGGAATCCTGGGCAGATTCTTTAAGCTGTCTGCACTGTACTGAGCTCATCAACCAAATGGCAGTTAGAGCAATGCCCACCTCTTGGGGCGTTTTCGATGACTCAGATTTCTGATGTGAATATAATTTGCAAATGGAAAGTACTTTATAAATGTGAATAATCATAATAATTATATATTCTTATATTCAAAAGTGGGAGCGGTCTCTATTTCAAGATAGTGGTTAGTATTTTGCCCACCATGATTTGATAAAGAATCCTGTCTGGGTGGGGTGGGGGTGGGGCACCTTCCTGGCTCCGTTGGTGGATTGTGGGACTCCTGATTTCAGGATTGTGAGTTCAAGCCCCATGTTGGGTATTGAGATTACTTAGGAATAAATATTAAAAAAGAAAAAAAGGAATCCTTTCCAGGGTCTAACAGATGTGGTTTAGTTCTCAGGTCCATGGCTGGCGAGGAATACGACCTTGGGCAAATTCCTTCCCTTCTCTTAGTTTCCTCATCTAGGAAATGCGAATTAAAATGGAGCCCACCTGAGAGGGCCACGAGGTGGTAATCTGCAGGAAGTGCCTGGCACATGGGCACATCCA